AAGACAAGAGGAGACATGATAGTAGTGTTCTAATATTTGAAAGGCTACCATAAAGATGAGTCAACCTATTTTCCAAAGCACCAGAAAGCAAGACAAGAAGCAATGAATGGAAACTAATCAAGGAGAGAAGCAACCTAGAACTAACAAAAAATTTCCTAACAGTGAGGATAATTAACCAGTGGAATGCCTTACCTTCAGAAGTTGTGGGTGCTTCATCATTATCATCATTAAAATGCTTCACCATTTTAAGAAGAGACTGGATAGCTACTTGTCTGAAATGGTATAGGGTTCTCCTGCTCGAGCAGGGGGCTGGACTAGAAGACCTCCAAGGTCCTTCCAACTCTGTTATTCTATGTTGAATAGCGGAGTCCACCTACCGCTGATCCAATGCCTGGGAATCAGCCAGGTCTTCAATGCCTTGTGAAAGGCTGATGGGATTGGAGTGTTCCCTTCCTTCTGCTGCTCCATAGAGCAGATGTTGCCACTGAGAAGGCATGATTTCATAATCCAGCAAGGTGGCATTGCTTAATGAAAGGGACCTGGGCATGCCCTTGCAGATAGATTTGATGGGGCAGGCAGGAAAGAGACAGGTGTTCCTCTAAGTAGCTGGTCCTATACCATGGAGGGTGTTATAATATTTGAATTGTACTTGGAAGTCCACTGTGAGCCAAAGCAGCAATGTTACATGGGCACAACAAGAAATGCAAAAATTGCCCACACCATTGCAACATTCAATAAACATCTAATGAAACTATTGCTGATCACAATTTTTATGAATGTATAATCACAACATCAGTTGTAATCTGTTATCAGATGCTTGGCAACCTAAAACCAGATTACACAAGATGACCATCATGCTTAATATGGTCCATAATCTATGTCCTTCGGTTTAGTATTTTTGCATCACTGTTTAACAAGGAAACAGGATGACAGATTGCACATCAGCAGGACATTTTCCAGTCTTTCAAATTGCAATTATATTATATTATATTCCTCAGCGAAAGTGACAAGAAAAGTTAGTATAAGGTATCATTACACATTTCCAACTGCATTGGGGCAAAGAATGCAATGTGGATCTTATATCACTTAATGTTATAACCATTTGAGGTAGGAGCTTTTTTGTTCTCAGAGGTTTCATTGTATGTATTATTTCTTGGAGCTAAAGAGGCATTTTAATTATTTATATGGTATAATCATTACTTTACAGCCCTCTGTTCAGCTTACTTCAGATGTCATGACTAAGATGGGAATCTGTATTTTACTCCACATAAGAGACAAAGTCCACTGATTTCAAAGCTGTCCAAGTAAGTCAGTTGTTTCTGTACATGCACTAGCAATATTTTTTTTTTACATATATGGTATTGTTTCTGTCAGTAATCCTGGCATACACAATTGTTGTTGATCTCAGAGCACTAGTTTAATTATAATACATTCTCCATTATTGTTCCAAAGGCATTTGTGAAGGATATAAAAGGATCTTGGTGTATGTTTGTTTTTGCAATTACTTTACATTGGTTTTGAAGGGCTCCAGAGCAGACAGAAAAAGAGAGTAAATCTGAGCTAAAATATTACTTACATTTGATTGACAAATTGCTCAAAGGTATCCATTACATACTGTGTGTTTGTGAAGACTGTGCTATTAAAAAACCAACAGTGTCAGATATTTGTAAAATAAAGACTAACTGAAGAAATGTGAATTGCAGTGCAACTAAAATGTTAGCAGTAAAACAGAAACTTGGCAAGAAAACTGGAAAATGGAGAGGCAACACAATTCAGTGTAGTGACGATGAAGTGGCATCTTTAGCAATTGTCATATGGTCTTATTCCATCCAATATGGAAATAAGATCAGCAACTAACACAACAGCATAGCACATGAACACAAGCGTCAAAGCCAGTGATTTCATAAATACCATAAGACAGCTAACAAACAAAGCCTCGTTGAAGGTTTAAGGAAGGTTCAAGAAAATATTAAATGCACTAATCTACAAAAAAAGATCACTAATAAAACCTATGAAAAAGTAAATGACATTAAAAGCAGTCAAAAGAAAAACTTTAAAAAAAACCCTCCTTCTGGAAACACTGAACTGGAGGTCACTCAAATGACAGTAAAGGAACTGATCCCTCAAACTGGTCCCTTACCCAGGCCAGTCTATCCTCTCAAAGAACTAGTGAAGGTAGGGCATGGAGAATGAAAGGCATTGAAAAGATTGTCATATGATTTCACAACCAGAAACAATTCAATAGCAGGTAGGCTGTAATGTTTTTCATATCACTAGTCAGGGATTAAAATTAGTGGAAAAGAACACGTGATTCCTTCTTTTGCTTTGCAGCAAATGGACGTCAATACACTTGTGCACTGTCTTTGAAAGAAAGTTAGGAAAACTCAGTATCATCCTTGTTTTCCAATATTTCAGTTCAATTCAAGGGTTCTGACTTGTAACAAATGCAGAATTTAGTCCCATGCTATAACTCTCAGGTTCCTTGCAACAATAAGATCATTATTTTGATTTAAATAGAACCAGAAACCCATAAAATAGCCAGTTTCAGTATCAGGTATGTATTCTCAGTCAGTGATAAACCCTTACACCTTCTTCTGTGAAAGTTGCTATACTTGATTACCACTGTAAGGAATATTTAGACAACATAAATTATGTCTGTGGTAAAAATTCTTTAGGCAGATCACTCTTTTAATTTCCAAAAAACATTTGTCATGCAAGTTGTTTATTAGATTTTCAAATTGAATAATTCTTGTTTTATATGAACCAATCACCAGGATTATGGTTTTTTTTTTTAAAAAAACGAAAATATATACTGTGAACCTCTGGTTTAAATTCTCAAATGTTGATACAAATTATCCGCTGTAATTTTTATCTGCATAAATCCCATCATTCTAAAGGTCTTGCTAAAAAAGTAAAAAGTTTAGCTTCATTTTCATTTTCATTTTCCACAGATGAGGGATGGACACAGCAGTCTTTCTGCTTTGCTGCCAGATCAACAGACTCCTCTCCCTTCATTTTCTTTGCCATCTCAATTTCAGAGCTATGATAAATCAAGACCCTTGGCCAGTAATTTTAGACAAAAAATGTATTTTGCTTACCAAGTAAGTAATCAAGAATTCAAAGATAATGTTTGAGAGTGATCTACATCATAATGTCATAATTTAAAGATATTAAAATCAGTGGTGGGATTTGAATAACTTAACAACTGGTTCTCTGGCTGGGTAGGCGTGGCCAGTTGGTCATGTGACTGGGTGCGTGAGGTCACTCATCACACCCAGCCCTGCCTCCCAGATACTCACCTCAAAGGCAGAGGTAGGATTCAGCCAGTTGGGGCTAATCCCGCTACTGGCCGGCCCCACCCCATCCATTTTTCAGGCCAATTTCAGGCTGTTTTTTGAGCTGGTTTTGGCCTGAGAACAGCCCCAAATGGCTGAAAAATGAGTGGAGGCAAGGCCAGCCAGTGGTGAGATTTGCCAGTTCACCAAACTGCACACACTCTTAACTACTGGGTCTCCTGAACTGGTGCAAACCGTCAGCAGCCACCTCTGATTAAAATCCAACTAAACTGAAAACTAGAGGTTGAAAGAGGCATGAAATTCAAGCAACTAAAATTGTGTTTCAGATCTATTTAGGAACAGCTACCAATTTAAGCATCCCTGGGTGCTTTGTCAGATAGTCAAACTTCTAGTGATTGTTTCTCCATGAATATTGCAAACCATACAGAGCATCAAAGAAGACAGCAACATTAATATCTGACCATTTCAGCAGATAATTTGCTCTGCCAAGAACTAAAGGAAAAGAAAAGCAATGGTATTAAGTACCCAAGAAATTGACTTACGATGAGTAAGACCATGGTTTTAATTAACTTGGTTTATGCTGATTGGTTGCAGTTCATCAGAATTTTAAACAAAAACTCCTTTTCAGATATTCCTGATATACCAAGAATTCAAGCTGGACTTTCTATTTTACAGCATAAACTTTGCCTATGGGGCTTTGGGACAAAGGCTGAATCCTCTGAACATGTTAAAAAGAGAGAGAGACAGACAGACAGAGATATTCACTGAACTGTAATACAAAATATATTTGTATTGATCAGCTTGTACTGCTTTGAAGAATGGCAATGTTACTCTCAGAACAAAGTAAGAATTAAGCAATTCTAACAGTACTTCCCTGGCTTGTTCATTTTCTCCCCACAATTGTTGTAGCAGCACTCACATTGTCAGTGTAGTATTGACAAAAGAAGACCTTTTGGTCTTTAAGATTCACTCAATGCAGTTTAGAAGACACTAAGGTGATGCAGCTATTGCTCTTCAATCCTGCAAAGGTTTGGACTGTAGTAAGCAGCAGAATAGCGAAAAGGTGAAAAGATTCTGTTGACTTAGGTATATGTGCTATTACAATACTTTGAAAACTTTGTTAGAGAAAGTATGCATAAAGTAAATAATAACTTAGGCATTCATGTATAAATCAGTACATATCATCTCTGACAATTACTAAGAATAATTGCATTTTGAGACTAAGAATTTTATGTAAGTATGAAACCTGATTCACATTCTTCTCATCATAATCCAATATCCTTACCATACTAAGACTATCCTGCATTGCACAATGCCATACCTCCACCCCGCCAAAAAGGAAGACACTCTAGTCTGATTGTAGATTATGCATATACTTTAGAAAAGGTCAATACCATTATCTCAGAATAAGACATTTTTAGAAAAGCTCTTGCGATAAAATATGTAGAACATCCTTTTCTTGAATGTATACTTGAGGGTTTAAATCATAGGAAAGATTTCTGTCTATGATTCAATAAATCTACTTGCAGTTAGAATCAAGATGCTAATTTAGTTGAAGATACTGTGTGTTGCTTTAAAGCAGATAGCTGCATATGTTCAAAATGGTTTGTTTATGTTCTTAACATGTATATTATGTTATTAACAACAGTGAAGGAGATTTCCTTGGCACTCCAAAGCACTGCACATTTTATAATTCATAGGTACCTGTAATATCTGTTTGATCGTCATCAGTTTCTACTGCTGCTGCAGCTGCTCTGTTTTTCTTCTCCAACTCTTTCATTTCAGGCACGTAGAAGTCCCCTTGACGTGCAAGGGGGCATATAAAATAGATTTTATTTCCTTTGTAGATCTCCAGTCTAGGATGGGCGCATAGTTTCCGGTCCTAAAATAGATAAGGCACATAGCATTAAAGATGTATTTTTCTCTACCACTGTGTTACAATTAGTAAATGCATCCCTGAACACTCTGTCCAGATTAGGAATTGCCAGGTTGTCGTTTCTTGGTATTCCAGGGTGATGTTCCCATCTTTAACATGAATGCTTTGATATATTCAGCCAATCCAATGTTCTTTATCATTTTCAGACACCATGAGATCAAATTTATAAATGGTTCAGCATCTTGTGAAAATGGGAAAGGGCTTTAAGGCTCTGAAATAAAACATATAACCAATTGCAAAGCATTGAGAGTGCTTAGCAGATCAATGAACTCCTTCGAGCTGATCCATATTTCGTTGGGCTAAATTATATAGCCCCTGCTTTGAGCACCATTTCCAAATGGTGTGAGATTCATTTCAGAGAGGCCATATGACATACGGCGGTGGTTAAAAAAAAAAAATCTGAGAAAGATTTCAGTCTGATTCCACTTCTAGATTATTGTAAGAAAGGCGTCATTAATTAAAGTTTCTGCATTTTCTCTTCTTGGTTTATCTATAAGCTTACTCCAAGCTCAGCAGCTTTTGGAAAAGGCCAAACGTTAAATGGCAGAGAATTATATTTTTCATATAGAAAGACCATCGAGTCCTGATACATTGTGGAAGGAGAGGGGAGAGGAGGGGAGGAGATCTGAGATTCTTGAGAAAAAATAATATATGTAGCTCAGGAGTCCTAGATACTCTCTGAGGCTGCTTGTTTGCTTGCAGACATTTCCTTATCCAGCTAGGTAAAATGCCCAATCCTTCCACTGTGAAATCCTTGGGAAAGACATCCAGAAGGACTTTGTTATTCTTTACTCACTAAAAGTGCTAATCGAGTTTGTAAAATTGGGTAAATAAAACATGAATTAATCTAGGTAAAATATCTTAATCATTTTCACTGTCAGCTAACCTACTAAAATTATCATACACTGATTGTTGGGAGGGGATTATATTAATAATTTAAAGCACTTTAATTTATTTTCTAATACAGTACAATCACAACAAAACAGACTACCATCTGTGAATGGAATATAATGTCATAGGGTCCCGCTGACTCCTCCCTGAAAAGTAGGCACAGTCATTTCATTAATTTATGTGAAGTCTTTCAGCAAGAGACATTGTGCAGTCAGTCACTTCTTTGAGCCTAATGCAGCTAGCTGTATTTTCAGCACTTTCACTCCAAAGTCCTTTGGGTTTCTTCACACAACATCCCTGGCTTGTTTTACAATCCCAAAGGAAGCATTTCTAGAAGGACAGCAGCAACTCCTGCCCTTTGAATGATACATTAATATTCATAGACATACAGTAGTTGACAAATATGGTACTGCCACTACTGTCCAGTTCTCCTCATACATTTGTATGCCGGATGATAGGTATATTGCCCACTCCTGTTCCATGTTCCCTTCCTATTCCCACCCCAAAACTATTGTTGCACTATTCTTAATTTTATGTTCACATAAATGAAGGAAAAAAAACCAGCCACAATATGTACCATCTATGTCAACAAAGATTGTCATTTTACACAGGCTGTGTCCAATCTTTAATCTAGTTTCTGAAATACAAATTACACTAAACTTCCTCAACCATCTATCACCCTTGAACTGTAGAGAATAAAACTGCCGAAATTCCAAGCCAGTATGGTCATTTTGGAAATCCTGGAACATATGCCAAAGGGTTAGGGTTAGGGTTTTGGTCTTCCCCACCAGCAATCAACACCCAAATGAGCATACATTAACACCAAGACTAACACCAGACCAACAATTAAGAAGTAAACAGTACCCCAATCAAGGAATGCCAAACAAGCTAACAGAAAAAAAGCCCTCCAAGACCACTTCCACTAACATTGACGGGAAAGCCACTGGAATATAAATTGAGAGCAAACTTCATTCCCTACTAGCACTCATGATTTTGCTTACTTTGGGTAATGAAAAGTCTGCAAGAAAACAACCAAGCTCAGTGATCCCTGTTTTCAACCATGAGCTATAACTTCTCCTTTACTGAACTCACACTGAAAATATAAGCTGCTAAAAATTATGGCTCTCAATGCCACATATCATAGTATCTTCTGAACTGGCCCAGGGGGTTAGAAATAGGGGCACTGCTCTTTGATAGTTCTCCTCCTCTCATCTGAGGTTAGTTCATTCAGTGTTGATAAGGAAAGAGAAAGCCAAGCTTTGGGACTCTGGTTTGCAAGGTGCCTCAGGGCTTGACCCTTTTTTCTCTATTCCTATTTAAAATCTATACGAAATTGCAAGGTCAAGTCATGTGCTGGCATGGGTTGTATCTAGCAGCATAATCACAACATCACTGATACCTGAAGTGCACTCATTTCCAATACATTTCTGAGTGCAATTCCAGTTTCTAGTTTATTACTTACGTGGCACAGGACTAAGATACTTGATGGATTGCCTGTGTCTGATGGCTTCTGCTTATTCCACCAGGACCAGAAGGGTAAGTATGCTCCAGATGCCTTCCATGAAAACAGAGCCACTTTATAGAACTTAGAACCAATATTTCTCTGTTGTGGCACCTGACCCATAATCTTTGGATGGCCACATTTCTGTTCTGGAAGGCTTTAAAAATCTGCCTTTTCCCTCAGTTTTTAGGGATAGATGGTTTGCATTTTTATCCTGTGCTGACCAAGTCCATTTTTTTAACCTAGTATCTTTTATTGTTTTTTTAAATCGTTTTTATCTGTATATTTCTATTTTTATGCTTGCTAGCTACACTGAGTTATCTAATTAGAATGGGCTGTCGTATAAAGTCATATCAAAGATTAATAATGCACTTCCTATGGTCAGCATTGTTTAATGTGTTCTTTTTTACTTTGCTTACTTTTAATGTTGATTTTGTTTTCAAATAATAAGCCATCCTCAATTTAGGGGACAAAGTGAATCATATAAAAACAAACTGTGAGCAAAGATGGAATGTTTATACTTTCAAATATATTTTCTTCACCAGCTGACAAACACAACCCTTGATAATATTTTGCTCTGTTCTTCAGCTTTTAAAACATGTTCATGCTAGGAATCAAGTCCTTATTTTTCTCTTCTCTTTTCTTTTCTTTCTTTTTTTTTGGCAACTCTGGAAAATGGATGTTACGACCCCATTCTCAATGCACTCAGCAGTGTTGATCCAAGAGAATGCCAGCTAGTGCTTCTAGCGGGAACTTGCCAGTGATGAAGTCCCTGCTTTCAGCATGAAGAAACAACTCCTATGAGCTGTTTCTTGCTCAAAGCTTCTGCAAGTTATTAGCTCTGAAAACACAGATAAAAGAAATTATTTCTATGATTTTTGTTGGCCACCCATAGTCGCACTTTTAAGAAGAGCAGCCATATAATTCTATTAAGTAAGTTAGGTTAACTGGGGAGGAAATGGCTATAATCGATTATACCTTGTTTTTCCTCTACCTATATGTTTAGACAGAGTTTCAAATTTTAACAGTGTTCATGATTTTATTAGCAATGCCACACTTCTACCTGTCGCCCACTAAATCAGGAGAGGGGTTTGGATGGCAAAAATGTGAATTAAAAAGAATCCTGAAACACAGAAGATCAAAGAAGGTAGGCTGTAATATACAGGGAATGGACTTTGCATTGAATTAACATCTGGCTGTTTAATGAACACCCACACCCTTCCCACTACCATCTGCATGGCTCTGAATGCATTATCATTTGCACAAAATGTACATCTGAGGATTGTTGGTGAGTTTCCTTATGAAAAAGCAAAGAGGTGGGAAGGAAGATTAGTTTCTCCTAAATAAATAGCAGAGTGTGGCAGACTTGTTGTCCTTAAATAGCCTCTACTGATCATAGTTCAACCAGTATGCTAGATATAACATGCTTCTAGTCAAAAACCACGAGAAGCAAATTTTCCAATACACGAAGTCCAGAGTTAGCTGTGCAGAGTTTTGAATTAGCAGTAGAAGGATGTGAAAATGAAAAGAAAAATAAATTAAATTGCAATATTTTTTTTTACCATGTCTCAGAGTAGAAGGAACAAATAACTTAATGTTTCTAAATAAATGAATGGCTGATAAGCATTCAAAGCAGCCATTTGGGGGATAGCCTTCTCAGTATTCATAGTGTCTTCCCTCTTCGTTTCTTGCTGTCACTTTGTTTTCTGCAATGATGGCAGTACAGTCAGCTCGAGTTTCATCCATCATAAGGCTGCATATGTAATAAAAAGAACCAACTTCTTTTTCACTTGTAGAGGAGCCAATTTATTTCAATTTCCAGAGACAGGAACAGCATCTTTGACCTCTGCTGTCTGGAAGAAGTGGACCTACCTTCTTGCAAACAACCACTTAAATGCCTCCTATTGAGATTTCCCTATCATATAATACCTGTAATCCTTCCTGAAGAATTGCATGAAGAATTAAATTAAGACCTTTGAAGTGCACAAAGTTGGGAGAGTCTAGTGTAAAGGTTTGAGTTAGACATCACTCCTTCTGGCCAGGCATGTGGGAGACACTTTTGACATGATGGGATCATACATTTTTGCATCGTCCCTTGAGATTCTCGAAGTCGTTTCAAAATATAGAGAACCAATTTTATTGGGAACTCAACATGTGTAGATTTTATAAGTACTACTCTTTTTTAAATAAAAAAAGTATGTACATTTAATGTTATCAGGTGAATGACCCTGCAGATCAGTAGATACCAACTGACTGCCTATCAAAGAGCAGAAGCTCATTTAATGTTCCTTGGGGAAACTGAGAGCAGCAGATGATGCAAATTGGTGGGGCCACATTGCATATTTGAGCAGGGCTGAATATTTTTTTTAAGGGGAATTGCCTTTTTTAATCTAGTTAACTTATTTTAGAGAATGTATTATAGGTTTTATGGAAGAAAACTGTGTTGCTGATTTTGCTATCCTGGACCACTAGAGATAATACACACACACACACTCACACACACACACACACACACACACACACACAGGCTCAGGACTACATTTAGCCCTGGAAC